TCTTTTCTTTTCTTTTCTTTTCTTTTCTTTTCTTTTCTTTTCTTTTCCTTTCTTTTCCTTTCTTTTCTTTTCTTTTCTTTTCTTTTCTTTTCTTTTCTTCTTTTTAAACAGAAGTCCATCCCAGAGATTTATCGGCAGGCACAAGTCTCCACTGACATATTGGGATATACCTTTAGTACCACGTTTCTATTCTCATCCAAGAACAGTACACTGAGGGAGTTCATTTTATCAGGAACACAGCAGGGCTCTGGAATGCCTGGAATGATCCCCACTGCTTTTACAATGCTCTGGATTGTGGCATGGTTTGATGGTCGCACAATCTAGAAAGAGGCAAAAGAAAGAGTGTTATTCATTTTCACCTACAACCATGGCCAGATTGGCTTAAGACTGACAGAAGAAATGAGTGACAGGTAATACAGGGTATCCCAAAAGTCTTAGTGTTTTCAAACTTTAAAAATGTCAGAAGCATAAAGGCTGCAAAGTTAGTCAAACATTTAAAAGGTTAATTATTTAAAAATTTAAAATAGTAATATGTTTCTTATTAAAATTCCTCATAACCACCATCTTGTGCTATACATAGCACAAGATATATACATTCAGTGGTCAAACTTTATAAAATCTTTTGGCTTCTGCTCAGTGGTTTGAAAGGACTGCATTTATAATCCTAATCTTAAAATCATCCAGAGGAGAAGGTTTTGATGCATACATGGCAGTTTTGCTATAATCCCATGAGAAAAGGTCTAATAGAGATAGATCTGGTGATCAAGGTGATCAAGCCAGAGGATCACCTCTAGCTGTCTGAGAAAGTATCATTCAACCTATTGCACACACAATGTATAATGACAGGGTGCCTTCACTTGTTCAATTTAAAATATTCTTAGTCACAATTCACAAAACTAAGTGCATCACATAAATCTAAGTAATTAAACTTTCAAATGATGTTTTTGTAAGTTCATGGCATTTATACTTCTGAAGTTAGTAAAGCTTATATAAATTGCATTTTATAAAACTGCATTAAGTTATATATATTTATATTAGGTACGTGTGCATATATGTATAAATGCACACATGTATATTTACACATATACATACACACATATATGTGTGCATGTGTATATATATACATATATATATGTAACATATAAAACCACATTAAGACTTTGGGAACACCCTAGATAATTGGAGGAATAGAGGTAGAAAGTTGGTGAATTTCAATAATGCCATGGAAAATGACATGGAAGTGAAATCAATGCAGCCACCAGTCATGACTTCAGAGGAAAGAACATGAAACACGCCTCCTTCACCTCAGCAGAAATGGGGCACACCACAAAAGTGAAATGCATTGATCTATTTTGCATCACCATACTTTATTGAGACAAGAGAAAACTATTGGGGGGGGGTCAGAGAGTCAATGGAAAGTGACAATGACATAAAACAAAAAAAATCAATAAAATGTTAATTTTAAAGAAAGCAATCAATCAATAAACATTTACTAAGCTCTTATTATGGGCTAGGTTCTGTGTTAAGACAGCTAAGTAGTGTAGTGGATAGAGTGCTGGGCCTGAAGTCAGGACGACCTGAGTTCAAATTTGACCTCAGACACTTAATAGCTGTGTGACCCTTGCTCACGTCACTTAACCTCAGCTTACCTCAGTTTCCTCATCTGTAAAAAATGGGGATGATAATACCACCTACCTCACAGGATTATTGTGGGGACCAAATGAAATAATATTTATAAAGTGCTTAGTGCAGTACCTGGCACATATCAAGTGCTTTATAAATGCTCATTCCCTCTTAAAAAACAACAACAACAACAAAGTGATTATATTGGCATTTAGCCTAGTATTGGACACATAATTACCACTCCAGACCGGTTGATGGATTCATTGAGGGTGTGTTTTAAGATGGGACAGCTAGTTGGAGCTCCAGTGCACAGAGCCCTGGACCTGGGCTCAGGAAGACCTGAGTTCGAATTTGACTTCAGCAACTTACTAGCTATGTGACCCTGGGCAAGTCATTTAACCTCATATTGCCTTAGTTTACTCATCTATCATATGGAGATAATAATAGCATCTCTCCCCCCACCCCATTCTCCTAGGATTGTTGTAAGGATTAAATGAGATATAACTGTAAAGTGCTTGGTAAGTGCTATATAATTACTAGTTATTATTATCACTGAGAAGTAAGAAAAAATCAACTTCACATTATACTAGATTCATTGGTTATAAGTGGTTTTCAGTATTGATTACTTTTTGTGCTTTAGATGAAAATTTAAATGAGGCTAATGTCTATGAAATAACATTTTCTTTCTATAACTGAAAAAAAAAGATCTCAGAAATATTTATGAGCTGTAAAATCAATGAAGCCACACACTTTTCATGTCAACTGACTTACTGTCCTCCCAGGCTAAGGAGTCAGTCTGCAAACCTTGAGAACAGTCAAACATTAAAACCTCTATGCCTGACACTCCATAATTTACCCCTGGTTTTGCTCACATGCCCGTGGTTTTGACCCCACTGTGGCTTGGTCTCTACAGCCAAAGCCAAGGGTAAGATTTGTGGCTTTTTCTTAGAGAAGGGAATGTTTAGCTCGGGCAGGGAGGAAGAACTATTTTCCTGAGAAAGGACAGGAGGCGATCAGGGCTCTAAAATGCCTCCTCTCTTGAGGGTGAGTTGGGTTGTCTTTGCCACTGAGGAGCCATGAGAACTCCCAGAACAGAATTACACTCATCTGAGCCTATTGAGAGAAGTTATTTTTTGATACAGAAACATTATCTTCACCTTCTAGCTCTAACCATCCTATCATCAGGGAGAGTTTATTGGGGGATTTAGCTATTTCATCAATTCCTATCTCTATCCCTCCCCTCCCAATGCTGCTCCCGTGCTTCTTCCCCCTTCACTGCAACCACAAAGTAGATTTAGGTAGAATAAACTATCCTCTAGCTTTTAAAGGCTATACAGACTGAAAAAAAACTAATAAAAAGTAAGGGCGAGGAGTGAGAAGGAGGTACCAAGTTAATGGATGGTCCCAGGAGATTGCAACAACTAAAACACACCCAAAGAAGAAACCTAACCCTGATCCGGCATCTTGTGATTATCAGGCAAGAGAGTGAGCAGACCACCATAAATCAACTCTCCTAACTAGGAAAACCAAAACAAAAAAGCGCTCAAAGTTTGGTTTCTATGTGGCCAACTTAGCTTTATATCATTGAATGGCCCCAAATTCTACCTCTAACTTTATGTAGCCATTTTGAGAATGAATGTGTGCTACTAGTCACAAAGGTGAGTGGACAAGAGTGTGGCTCTGTGGGCTCATCCTTTGTTTCTGCTTGGGGGGAGAGGGGCCAGGACAATAAATAGAACTGGAAAATAAAGGGGCTTTAAAGATCACCTAATATAACTTTTCATTTTACAGATGAGGAGAATGAGGCCCAGCTAGGGGTGGTAATTTGCCGCAAATCACGCAGCGAATTGGTAAAATAAGGACTAGAATCCAGGTCATAGGACTCCTGGACCACTGTTCCTTCTGGACACCATGTTCTTTTCTTTGATGCATATATCCTACTGTAGTATCAAGTCCCAGTAGAATCTTCTCTGTGTACCAAAGACAGCATAGATTATATACAGTATGCTGCACATAGTAGGTGCTTAATAAATATTTGTTGAACATGCTTAATGGGCATAATAATTGCACCCACTATACTGGGTTGTTGTGAGAACCAAAGGAAATAAGCCATGCAAAGTATTTTGCAAACTTTAAAGCATTATATAAATGCTAACTATTATTGATGTGCCCAAGAGGAAGTTGGGAAAGCTCATTTGGAATTTTGTATGCTCCCACTAGTATGCAGGCTGGGATGCCCCTACAAACACATGGCAAAGTGTTCCCACTTAATGCTTATGGGGGCCTGGAAATGTGATTTCCTCTCACCAGGAATTGTGACTTGGTAAGAGAACTGTAATGTTGAAACTGTTCTGATGGGTTAGAACTTATCCTCCAGCAGGCCCAAAGTACTGCTCCTGGGAGTTGATGGAAAGAGCAGCAAATGCCACTTGCCAAGACACATTCAGAGTCCTACCTTTGAACAAAATCACTTGGAACACGGCCTTCTCCCATTCCTACACCCCAGCTCAAACCAAAGCTATTCCTTCTCCTCCAAGTGACCTCAGCCCCTCCAAATTCTCCCAGATTATCTTTCTTACCCTGGTTTCCCTCTCATCCTTACCAAATTTTGATGCTTTATTCTTCCATAGACTTATGCTTGGAAGGAGCCCTAGAGATCATCTGATCTAACCCACTCATTTTACAGATGAGGAAACTGAGGCCCAGGGAGGCAAAGTGATTTTTCTGACATCATACTCAAGATTCTAATTCTTGAATTCTTTCCACTGCCGATGACTATTTTTAAAGACACACTTGCCCCTATTTCATTTTTCCCTTTTCCTCTCATCCAACTTTCCACCAGTCCTACCCTGCTAATCCTCAACCCTCTGTAAATATTTTGTGAATCCTGAGATTACTAACCATCCCCTTATAGCTTTCTGACTCAAAATTGATATAGCTTTTACAGAAAACATGTATCTAGGGATACTCAGAACTATGAAAATGGCGGAAGAGCAAAATCATCCATCGGTGCATATTTAACCCTCATTGATATGACACAAGACCAGGAAGGAGAGAGTTTTTTCCAAGGACCTGAATGAGATTCATAATTTGACCAATGAGACCTCCAGAGAGGTTGAGTCACATCCAGGGTCACATGGCAGCACTAATTTATATAGAGAGTCACATTTACATAGAGTTTCCCCCTCACAATCCTAGGATTCATTCTGGGATCACACTTTTTGTATTTTATCCCCAGTGCCTGCCGTAGATAGTGCCTAGAACATAGAAGGAACTTAATAAATGCCTGCTAACGGCTCGCTCTGAGACAAATGCCCCAGAGTCGCTGAGTTCCTCCCTCCTGATAAATTAGGCATTTAGGATCATGGAAATATAAGATTATAAATCTACAGCTGGAAGGGATCTCAGAGACCATCTGATCCAGCCCCTTCATTTTACAGATGAGGAAACTGAGGCCCTGGAGGCAAAGTGATTTGCTCAAAGTCACACAGGTAGTCAGTGGCAGAGCTGGGATTTGAACTCAGTACCTGGGACATCAAGTCCATTATACTGTTTTGCCTCTTATCTAAGTCATAAAAGTTCAGAATTGGAAGGTACCTGAAAGGTCATTCAGTTCTGACATGTTCACTAGTATAGTGCCCTAACGGATAGCTAATATATGCCAGAGGCAGCAAGGCCAGGTAGAAAGAGGACAGGACTTAGGAGACAGAAGCCCTGGGCTGGAATCTCAAACCAGCCATTTAATACTTGTGTTATCTTGGACAAGTCACTTAATGTCTATGGGTCTCAGCTTTCATCTTTAAAATCAGGGGCTTGGACTAGATGACCCCTCTGGTTGCTTGTACCTCTAACATACTTTAATTCTAGTAACCGAAACCTAGCCTAAAGGTAAAGTAGCCTTGAGGGGAGGGCTGGGTACCAGTAAGGACATCAGCATTACTTCTAAGCACAATTCACGGGGGAAGAGAGAAATACATGAATGGTAGAGCTCTGGTCCATGGTTCTGAGGGAAGAAGCCTTAGGCCATTGACTTGGAAGGCTAGTAAATATCTTTTCTTTTCTTTTTTTTTTTTTTGGCTAGGCAATGGGGTTAAGTGACTTGCCCAAAGTCACACAGCTAGTAAGTGTTATATGTCTGAGGCCAGATTTGAACTCAGGTCCTCCTGACTCCAGGGCCCGGTATTCTATTTACTGCAACACCTAGCTGGCCCTGAGACTAGTAAATTTCCAAAGATGACTTCCTCATCAATCAAGGTAATTTCGTGCATGGCTGTAATAAGACAATCATTTTGTTCTGCCAAAAGCCTCAGAAAAACTATGAATTAGAAACAAATTCCAACTTGACATCCAGTAAAGAAGTCAGTTCTTACATGGAGAAGTGGTCTTATGCAATGAATAGGGAGCTAGCTTCTGATTCAGAATGACGTGGGATCATGTTCTGGCTCTCACACATATAAGCTGTATGACCCAGGGCAAGTTACTTAACCAATCAGCGTCCCAGGAACCTCTCTGAGACTATAAATTGCATAGCAGTTGTCAATCAGCATTGGGGATGGGGTGGGATTCTTACTGAAAGCTTTCTATATCAACGGAATCACAAGATCATAGCTGTACCCCATCTTCCATAATATGGGTAATTATACTTTGAAAACAACTCAGCTGCTTAGCCTCATTAAAGAAATAGAATGGCATAGAGAAATTAGCCTATGTGGTGAGTGTAGGTTTGAGCTCTGCTAGTAGCTGAATATGTTACCTTGAGGAAATCCATTAACCTCAGTGTTGCTAAGCTAAAGCATTTCTCATTTCCTTGGCTATGCTAGACTTAAGGCCATGCAGCCCACTCTAATGAGGGAAGACATAGCCATATTCAGTTTTATGTTAAACAAATATGCTTACTAGAAAATTCAAATTCTATACCAGAACCATTAGTATTTCTGAAGCAGCCAAACGTCTCTCTAATGTCATATGTTAATATGGGAAACCTGTTGGAAGGATGTTGAGCTGGACTATATAAGGAACAGCAGTGCCTATGCTAGGGAAGACTATCCCATGGGCAAGAGAGAAAAGCAGAGAAGCAGAGAGAAAAGCAGATGGATACAGAGTGAAAGGTATGGTGATAAAGTGGGAGTTCATTCCTTACTTCATTTAGAACTAGTGTAGGGTCAAGAGAGAGACAAGATTCCATTGTTAGTTTTGAGTTCTATAGTAGGGAAAATGTGTAATTGACTCAACTTATTTTCACAGTTCCTATATCCAGTAATAAATTATGATTACTATCCTACCGAAGCGGAATTCAGATAGCAAAACAACAGCAACATCAGCTCACTCTACCTTGGGCATTGGGAACTCACAAGCCCCAGAACAGTAATAGGCATCAAATGATTTAGGTGATATGATCCATTCATTCCACCCTATGTCAGCAAAGTCAACTTTCAAATATCTCCGTGAGCAAATTCTCGGCTCATTCCATTGTTTTCTTCGGGCCTTTTTCATGGTTTTCTCATCAAAATTCAGCATCTGAGACTTTGTAAGCATTTCATTATGATCTTGTCCCTTTTTCCTTCGGTCTTTCCGGGGTGATTTAGGTTTTAGGGCCTTATAGGCACTCTCCCACAGGTCATGTTTATGATAGTGTTGAGGGTGATGAGTATGGTGGAGGTGATGGGGATGGTGGAGACTGTATTCTACCTCTGGAAGCTCATTGTCATGGATGGAACCAGGAACATAAATGTCCCTCCTCACCCGAGAGTCAGTGGAGGCATTGGGCGAGCGGCTTGGGTCAGTGTCACTGGTTGGGAAGGGGTCATACCTCTGGAGAGTCACTGCCACACTGTTAGGCTCAGAGATTGCCAGATCATTAGCATAGACAAGGATGTAGGGCATGTTGTTTGGTCCTGGGCCATGGAAGACTTGGTCCTTCTCCCCAGAATCGAGCTCAGCCAGGAGGAGAAGCTCCCCATCCTGTTTGGCTTCCTTAATTATGTGAGAAATATCCTTGGCTTGCCAAACACCCCTTTGGTGGGGGAAGATAGTCACATTACCTTTGACCAGCCCAAAAGCTGCATTCTGTGGGACACTGCGGAATATCAGGTGGAAATGAGGGAGGGGCTGTAGGTGCAGCAGGCGGCAGGAGGAGTTCTTGGAACGCTTGCAAATTACTTCTCGGGACCGAGGCCGCCGATCTGAATAGAAGTGGAACGTGGCTGAAAGAACCATTTCTGAATCTTGCATGGATGTCAAATTGAAATGATACAAGGCTTTCTGGTCATTCATTTCTGTGATGAAAGTGATAGAGACAAAACAAAGCTAATTAAGGACAAGAGCATATCCCATACTTTTGAATATAAGCTTTAATATTTGATTATAGTAAAAATATTCATAATTTGATTGTTCATATAGGAAAAGAAAAATTAACTTTTGAGCAGGCTATAAATCCATAATGATATCCATTACTGATTCTGTATCTAACCCAATATTTCTTATTTCTTTTTAGGGAGGAGCGGGTAGACAAAATGGGTGGTATGGACTGGCAGTTCAGTCTTAGGGAGCCGGTAGAGCACTGAGAACGTATATGACTTGCCCAAGGTTGTACAGATAATTTTTTCTAGCAGACATCCCTCTTCTTCAGTAGTACCATGGTAACTCTTCCCCCTTTTCTACCTGGTCCTTCTCCTCCTCCTTTTCTTCCTTCTCCTGCCTCCCTCCTCTGACTCCAACTATTATAACAGCTCCTACTAGCTGTTATTCAAGATTTACAAAGCTCTTCACATATATCAGTTAATGGTTGGTACTATTATATTCAATCTACAGATGAGGAGACTGAAGCACAGAGAGGTTAAATGGTCACAGATTTATTTTATATTTAAGAGATAACACTTAGAGCTAGGTCTTCCTGACTCTAATGGTTGTTTAGCTGTTTTTCAGTCATGTCCAACTCTTCATGACCCCATTTGGGGTTTTCTTGGCAACGATACTAGAGTGGTTTGGCATTTCCTTCTCTATCTCATTTTGCAGATGGGGAAACTGAGGCAAACAGGGTTAAGTGACTTGCCCGGGGTAACATAGCTCATAAGTGTCTGAGGCTAGATTTGAACTCTAAGGCCACCTGTTTATTGACTAAACTGCATAGCCTCATAACCAAACACGATATACCTATACCAGGTATCATTTGCCAAAGAAGGTAACATTCTTATAGCATCTTTATTTTGAATATGCTTTTAATACCATTTATGGAAAAACATTCAATTATGCTTAACAATAGAAACGGTTTGGACATCTGTAGCTCATTTTGCTCAAGGATTTCAAAGCCTTTTTTACAAAAAGTGGGACATCTCAGCTCTCCACGAGGCCTAGAAACAGAATCATCCAAAGTCGAAAGGCCCGCCAGTGGAAGAGTGTATCAGAGAAATGCCCCAAGCAGGCCTCATACAGCAACCCTGATCACTAACCCTGTAGCCTTCCCCAGTGTCCCGGCCATGCAAACATTTCATTAGATCAATTCAATAATTCCTTTCACTCTTTTTCACATGTCATCCCCCCTCCCCCACCTCCTCCCCAGCCCATGTCCTGAAAAATTCAATATCTTTTCAACAGCTGTTTGAAGGCTCTTGGAAACCTTAACAAATAAATCCTCCAAAACCTCATATTCGTTTTCTGGGGAGGCTGGGGGATAAGGTGTGTGTGTGTGTGTGTGTGTGTGTGTGTGTATGTGTATTCTTTTCTCTTTTTTTGTAGGGCTAGTAACATTTACATGAAAACAGGAGCTGTTTTGTTCCCACTTTCATTTTCCCCTGCTGCTTTCTCCCCCACCAAAAGTCATAATTCTATGTCAATTGCTCCATAATCCCCTCCACAGCAACACCTCGAATCCCCCGATTGAACAGCGTGTCTCCAAGTGGGAGAATGAGCGGTAGGAGCAGAAGGGAAGCTCTCTCTCACCACCATGCACAGGCCGTGAAAGTTGGGGGAGACCCAGGAGGGAGGCTGGAGCAGGACAAAGCCGAGTATTATTGGGAAAGAGAATGTTCTCGGGCGCTTTCCAGGAAGTGTATCTGCCTCATTGGCACTCGGGCCATATTTGATCAAGTGGAAGCCGCTTCCCCCTTAACAATCCCTCAAGTGATATTGAGGGGTTTGTTCTAAGGAGGAGGGGGCAAAGGCCCAAGTAGATTTGGAGCATTGTCAACTTCCTGTCTTAAGGCCACTGAAAAAAAGAGACAGATGCACTTACTGTATTCATGCGAATGTAGTGATAGACGGAGATTTACAATGTGACTTTCCTGAATACTATCACCTAGAATGCTCTCCTCCAAAGGAGACAAACTTTCTCACAAACTCGTTGTGAATCTAAATTGGAGAGGGACTTGAACCCAGATCTTCTAGACTTCTAGGTAAATTCTCCGTCCACTAGAGGCTGCCTTTCATGCATTTAAATACAGTTTCTTTAGGCAGGACTGTGTTTACAGCAACTAAGCTGGTTGCCCAGTACAGTATGCCTTCGTAACCAAATCCTTTGAGGACGAGGCTTTTAATAGTGAGCCAGTGGATAGAGAGGTCGGGACTACTCTGCTTTTCTCAGTGCTAAGGGGCTAACTCATGGCTAACATAATGGAAAAGCATTTACTGAGCTCTTAACTGTGTGCCAAATACAATCTTAGGCTCGGGGGATACAAAGAAAGAAAACATGGCATTTCCTCCTTCCAAGGGCCTCACGCTTTAATTAGGGAAGATGAGACACAAAGAAGGTTTATGATTATGTTAAGTCTGGCAGACAAGAAGGTCCTGTAGTTATTGGGCAGGTTAAGTAGCAGCATCGAGGAGGCACAGTGGATAGAGCGCTGGCCCTTGAGTCAGGAGGACCTGAGTTCACATCCGGCCTCAGACACATGATACTCACTAGCTGTGTGAACCTGGGAAAGCCGCTTAACCCCAGTTGCCTCGCTAAAAACAAAACAAAACATGAAAAAAAGTAGCAGCATCAATGGCAAGGCCCTAAGGATCTTGGGGAGTAGTGGCAGGGTAGATAGTTTCCTGTCAAGGGGATAATAGATTCAAGGGTTAGTGATGTTGGGCTCTAGGATACCTTAAACAGAAGTAGAGATATGGACATCCTGCACCTGTTTGGAGCTTGACTCTGGGGGCAATGAATATTAGAGGGGAAATATAGTCTAATAAATATTAAAGATTTAGGATCTTGTGGCCTCTTGGAAGAGGGAAGAGGCCAACAAGGAGATGGGGATGTTATCTCAGGAGCAGATTTCTAAGGGCTGGTCAGGGATAGGCCTAGGATGAAGGAAGGGCCAAACTCCCAATGATCAAGGGGTAGAGGAAGTGGCAACTGGGCCCAAGGAAGAGGACCCCATGACCAGTGATAACTACCGAACTTGGAGTCAGAGGCCCTGGGTTCAAATCCTGGATTTGCCGCTTATACTTGTATGAACCTAGGCAAGTCTCTCCTAGGATTGTGATGTTACTTGTTGGAAAGCGTAAGTAGAAATATTACTAAGAGCTGTAGAGTACTTTGAGAGGATGAGAGAAGAAGCCCTGTGTAATGCCATTATATTGACCATAGATATAATTCCATCAATAAGACATGAGACAATGTGAGGGAATTCTTGATATTATGCAGCAGCATTTGTTCAGACCATTTGGCCACAGGACACTTTTGGCCTTGAAATATATTGGCCAAGCTCATCTGTGCCAATTTGGGGGGGGGTGGGTGGGTCTAGGGGTTTGGAATACTGACAGGATAAAGAAAAGACTGGGGACTCTATGGAAATTATACCTATTTTGATACTAAAGATGTATGTGTACTGTATTTTTTCTATGTACATGAATATGGTGGATATTCTCTGGCTTCAACATACAACAAATGAAGAATTATGAAGACCTGGAATAGAGAAAAGAAAAAAAAGGTCTAATTAAAAAAAAAAGGTGGGTGGGAGTGAGGAGCAGCCAATAGGTAGCCCACATGCTCCACTGTTATCCTTGAAATTTTAAGAGGAAGTGAGTAAGATTCCCAGAATGTTTGATGGGCTCTCTGGGGTGAACTGAGAGGAGGACATGGACAAGAGTCCTGTAGGAAGATGGACAAGTATGGATGGATTGCAGGAGCATCACGGGAGGGAACATCCACCTTGAGGAAATCACAGAACCATTTGGATCTTTGATTAATGCATGGGGGGAATATTGGTAAGTTCAAACTTTTCTCAAAGAGTTCCTGTTGCTGTCACTTAAAACAAAAGAGTTCCACAGATCATACTTTGCAAAATATTGAATATAACAATACATTGTTTATCCAGGGTCATTACAAATGACAAAAAGCCTCTGAATGGGTGTTTGTTTTTCATTCTCTATGTGCGTAGGTGTGTGTGTGTATCCGTGAAACGGATACTTTTGGCAGTCTGATGATCCTTATGGACACCACAGAATAATGTTTTAATATATGAAATAAAATATATAAGATTATAAAATGATTATTTTGAAATATCTATCTGTATTTGGAGAGAGGGACAGAGAGATAAAGAAGAATGAATAAGAGGAGAAGAAGAAGGAGAAGAAGGAGAAGGAGAAGGAGGAGAAGAAGAAGAAGGAGAAGAAGAAGGAGAAGAAGGAGAAGAAGAAGAAGAAGAAGAAGAAGAAGAAGAAGAAGAAGAAGAAG